TATTTATTTTATGCTTTTAGAATATGAAAAGCAGAAAATTTCAAGATCAGGAAGACATGTTTATTCTGTGAGCAAGTGTTCTAAATGTGTTATCTGGGGCACCTGGATGGTTCAGTCGGTTAAGTGTCTGCTCATGTGATGATCCCAGGGTCCTGGGATCGAGTCGCATGTTGGGCTCCCCACTCAGCACAGGGGAGAGGAGGGGAGTCTGTTTCTCCCTTTCCCTCTACCCCTCCCCCCAGGCTGTGCTCTCTCTCTCTCTCACATGCACACACACCCTCTCTCTATCAAATAAATAAATAAAATCTTTTAAAAATTTTTCTTAAATGCGTCATCCATACTGTTCATCAGTGTACAATTGGGAGGCTTTATGCCCCTTCAAAGAGGAACTTCTACACAATAATATAGTAAGGCTAAGATCCCAGTCTCAATAGATTTATACTAGGGTAAAAATAGGGACTAACTTACTTTTTCTAACTATGGGAAAATTAGGGGAAAAAAGCAATTATGTTCTATGATAAATGAGCCATTCTTAGCTGAGAAATCAGAGCATCTCTCCTTTTCATGTACTCAATTTGCGCATTTTCTATTCTTTGCTTCAAGCTGTTTCTTTCATCTTACTACTACAAGAAAATTAAAATTCTACTATTGGGAACATATGAGGGATTTAATCTCGAAAGAAGTGAACTACAATGCTGTATTATTGGAGTACTCTGATACACAATCAGAAAGATACTCAGCTTGAAAAAGCATAATATTGTTATCATTTAAAACTAACTTTATTTGGGGGAGGAAGACACATTTTGAGTGACTCACTAATGGAAGGGCACCGAAGCCAGCCGGGGCCTCCAATGTGATTTACTGTGCATTGTCATGATAAACCTTGTCCCCGGGGCACCGTCAATGACCCCAGCTCCAAGAAACCGAGGTGAGAACCAAGACGTAGAACCATTTTGTTATATCCTGCATTTATTTAAGCAAACCGAATGTGTAGAGATAGGAAAATTAGAGCGTTATAACATTTTACAAATACAGAAAGAAGACACAGAATAATAATATCCTGAAGAAAGTGCATCCGAACATAGCTCAATCACAGGAGGACACTTGCAGTGACCACAATGAAGCCACAGCTGACACATCCGTCTCTCATTCTTGTTTTGACATCATTCAAGTAGATTTAATAGATAACTTGGCGATTCGCTTTTAAACAAATAATAATACTAATGATTATAGTAGCCTTGAAGGGTTTGTGAGTGACTATACTATACATACAAGATGCTAGGCTTAATGTTTATTCCAATGCCGCTGTACATTATGCAGGGGGGGAAATAATGTCTTACTACACGATTACTGTGACATCCACTAAAATGTGAACTAGTTTGCATAGGTTAGTCCTTTGGGCAGCACGATGTTGCTCTAGTCCACCAAGGCTTAAAGATTCACAGTGTAGAGGAAAGAAAACATGAATTAAAGCATTTCTACTAAAATATATTTTAATAGCTGGTGTTAATTTGCATAACAAAAGCCAAATTATAGTAATAACATCGTATCGTTCTGTAATTCCTTTCATTTTAAAACCATAAAGTGTTTCCATTAAAACTGTATGCTCTCAAAGTTAGTACAGTCTTGCAAATTCGTCAACCACAATTCTACATTTTTGAAGCAGACAGAAGCCAAGCTGCACAGTGACTCAATTTTGTATTCTTATCACAAGTCAAAGGCCAACGTTTCCACACCGTGCCCACAACACACTTGGTGCCACTTCTCAATGCTCAGCCATTCTTCATATGGACACTGAAGAATGGGACTAGCATGCGGTTTTCTTTCTTCCTTCAAATTCAATCATTCTTAACAGCAACTGGATTACAAAGAAGTAGACACTATGCCAACTGGGTACCATGTGTCAAACGCAAAAAGCATATGGGATTCCATGAATATATGGAAGTAATATGGACATCCGGGGAGATATCTGCCCGGGATCCTTCCAGGCTAGTGGATTCCAGTAGTCTAAGCATCATGAAATCATGGCCACAGAAACATCCTACAATATCTTGGTTTTTTGTTATTGTTTTTGTTTTTGTTTTTGATCATCAGTAGTTGACAGTCAGTTGCCTGGAAAGGACCCTAATGGGCATGGAATACTTCAGAAAGAGACTTTCCTTTTAGCATTCTTAACTTACTTTACATAGCTTCTTACTTAACTAAAGCTTTCTCACCTCTGTGTCTCATTACCCAAAACACCTACGCTCTAGCCACTTTTAGATTATCAGAAGCACATAGCTAAGGTCTAATAGAAATTTATGAAGTGAATTTCATCTTGTGTAATGAATTCAGCCTCATAACATAATTCTTCTATCTTGCAATAGGTATTTTAAGTCTCAGACCTAAAGTTAATGTTTATGCATCCTGACTATATATAAATCCACCAAGAACTTTTCAGAAATAGATGGGGAAAGGTCAGTATTTTCTAAAGTTCTACACCTTTAGAGGTAAAAATACAATCAGCTATCACCTTTCATATCTGTCAGGAGCATCACACTTCCCCACAAGAAAAATACCAATCATGTATAATAAAATATTACTATAGAATAGACAAGAAGCTTGGTTGCTTGGTTCTCATTCCAAGACCATCATGGATAAACAAGGGTAATCAAAAAGGCACCTTTTTTTAAAATATATCTCTGTTATAATTTTGGTATAAACTATATCCACTTTATATAAGGATGTGTTATTAAAGGGTCACGCCCATTTTCTTTATCTTTTCATTAAAAACATTTCACTAGAGGTGAACACACCCAAAAAAGAGATGCACCTCTTGAACTTTACTGTTCTAGAAAAGTCTGTTTCCCCACCTCCCAGCCTGTTGTCAAGCCCAACTGGGAGAGGACAAGGGAGGAAAGACTGGGGTCAATTTGCCCAAATGGCATCTTCATCATCTTCAAGCGGTGAACCTAGTGACGAGAGAGGGGCTGGTCTAATCTCATCCACGTTCATATAAGGTGCCCGTAGAAATTGTGCTTGCAAATTCCTGGGTGGTCTCTGGAGGTGGGGAAGCCTGGGAAGAGGCAGGGATGGAGAGGGGATCTAACAACCAGATAAGTATTTCAAACTGGGCTACGCCGTGGATGTATAAACAAGAACAAGAAGACGTGAAGAACTCGTTTTGTCACAGGTTAGAAATCGGAAGCTTTCCTAGAGCACAAGAATTAGTAGAAACATTGACTACAAAAACGTACAACAAAAGTCATCTATTCTGCTGCTCTGCTTCTCTCAGGAGAGAGATGATCCACATAACGTTTTGATTTCAGAGCCTTGTAAGAACGTATCAACCTGCTCCATGTGCTTTTTTCAGGCCTGAGAATGCATCATGTTCAGAGAATCAGGTACATGCTTTCTGTGCTTGGACATTTCACAGTCTTTAGCTTGATTTCTAAAAAATAGATTTTTTTTTACACCCTTCTTTAGCAGTTAGTGTTATTTATGTGTGAGATGCATGTTGCCAAATTGAGGGGAGGGGAGCCATGTGCAAAGTGGAAAAACTATTCAAGAACATAGTTTTGAAAAATAATGCTGTAAAAATAGCACTTTGGTATTATACATGTATGTTTCCAATATTTCTGCTGAGATGCCCAAGATCCTGACAAGCGTTAGTAACAGTGACAACAAATAACTGCTCTCTGGTTAAATTCTGAGCAGACCTTAATTCCTAGAGGCTAGAAGGAGAAACATCTCGCTATGCAAACATTATGCGAAGCCTAAAATTTTAGAATTATTCCCCTAATAATTATTGACTTCTACATTCCATGAATCTGATTTTGAAATTAGTAGATGAGAAAGACAATGGAACAAGCAACTGCTATTTTATGGGACTTTTCCCCAATTAAAAGTATCATTTCAAATCCGTTTCCTTTGAGCTTCCTATAAATGTGCTATTTCTCAAAAATTGTACCTGTCCTACATTTAGTCTGCAAATTTAATCAACAACTACTCTTTTTCCTAATCACAAAAAATTGGTCTGGGTGAAACATAAATATTTGCTTAATGATACTATAAAATTGAGTAAGTTTATTGCCCCCATTTTAATGCACAGATTTTTTTTTTTTTTTTTTTGCAAGAATGTTGCAAGTTCAGCTTGCCTTGTTGGTTTGTGGACAAGACATCTAAACAGATAGGGGTTAATTTAATCATGACTGTCCATTCCAACACCAGAAAATCAGTCCCGCTGGGTATGTAGGAATCTGTAAAAAACCCTCAAAAAATTCTCTAGTCTTCTACCTGAATTTCTCTCATCTCTTTTTGTGTGAGTTCCTGTAGATGCAGCTTGAGTGTAATAAAGCTTATTTGTTCTTTGAGCCAGAGAAAATGAAACTCTAGATTTTCAAAAAGTAAGTGCTAACTTTCCACAAGCCTAAACGAATTAGCATTTGTTTCTGGACTCCTAAACACTTCCGTAAAAGGTATTTTATAAGATACTCCCTTAATTTCTTTGCCTATGTTACCTAAAGGAGATAGCCTCAAGATTGATACATTTTATCACATCTTTCTAACTTTGCTTTTAGCCTCTTCATCACAACTCTGGAGGCAGGCCCTACATGAATGCTACCCTGCTGAGGTCCAAATACATCAGAAAAACACAGAGTCGCTGATGGACGTTAATTTCTCCAGCCACCATAACTGCAGACTACAGGCCAATCATCACGACTGGCCAGCAAGGCTGCAGCTTTGTGGTGAACCCAGAAAGTGCCTGCAGGGTCTTGCATTTGAAATTCAAGATAGGACAACAATTTCTTTTTTTAGTGAACAACCTGTTGGGCCTTGATCTAAAATCTCTGCTGGCATTTTCATCTCCCCTCCCCCACCCAATATGGGTTAGAAAGTAAAAACCAGAAGAAAGTAGAAAAGACGTCTTTCCATTAACTGGTTTCAGTGGCTGGACTTCCATTCCTGGATGTAAATAGCATTTTCCAGAAAACAAACAAACAAACAAACACCCCCCCCCCCACAAACACACACAAAAACCTGATCATCTCTCTGTGGAGTGGGTGACGTTTTGCTCCCTGGTTGTGTCTCTTGCACACCTTGTAGTCTTTGGCTCCTATTTAGCTTTACTTTTAAATCGACAGCGGCATTATGTTAAAGAAAGCTGCTCAGTAAACACCTAAATCACTTATTTGCTAGAGTAGGCGTCTATTTCCTAAAGGTGTAAATCCTTCGAAACTAGAGTGCAAGGCAGCAGGAGAATCTCAAGCAACTTTTCAAAAACATGTTTTTCTGATGGGCAGGCTACTAGACGGGAGGGCTGGTAGGTTATCAGCCGCACTTGTTGCTTTAATAACGGGGATGGGCAGTGCAGCTGCCTATGTTACAGAAGCTTGAACCTACGTGACATGCAACAGGGTCAAAGCCCTTAGGGAAATAATAGAGATGACCTTCAACTTTGCCCTTTGCAGAGTAGCTGTGACATTATTTGGTCCTGACATTCTATGGAGTCAAACATAGACTTGGGCCCACAGAATGTAAATGAAGAGTAGGATATGCCTTGGTACAAATGAGAAACAAAGAGACCCAAGTCAGCCTAGGGAACAAGGAAATGTCTTTGTTTGGGAGAAGTTTCTAGGTCCCGAAGGCCACCAGTCAATATAATTTTAACCAAACCGCCGTTCTGTCACTCCTGATGTTTATTACATTAGGCAATTTTCACTTGAATTGGAAATTCCCTAATGACTCAAAAGCTAAATCGTTTTTAAATTATTGGCTGTGTTACTGAATTACAGGAATTGGCTTCTGGTGATTCCAAAGTGACAGCTAATAAGTTTCATAGACTTGTTACGTGTAAGGGACAATCAACATCTCTATTACAGTCTACAAAAATACATTTCCCAGAAGTGTTCGATAGCCAATCAAAGGAAACCATTAACCCAATTAGCAGCACCGGGCCTCCAGACCTTAAGGTTTTGTGTACAGGAATTACTGAAAATGCTGCTGTTCTGAGCCCAGAAGTCAGTCCTTTTTCCTGGTACCTATGTGTCTCATTGTCAAAGTAAAGAGAGATTATTGTAAAATAACTGCCAAGTTGTCTTAAAAGTATCTTCTATCTTTTAAAAAGATTGGGTTTAGTATACATTAGAATAAAGCTCAAAGACAAGGAGAGAGAATTAATTAACAAACTCAATGTAATTGGCTGGGAGCATCCCTGTTTTCCCAGTTCTCTGCACTGTGCCATACATCCAGCCGTCGTCGATGGGCTGTACGTTGACGATGTAGTCGCCATCCCTGAAGGAGACCTCATCTTCATCCTGGGCACTGTAATCATACATGGCTCGGTAGGTCCTCTGAGAAAGGAAAGAGGAGATCACAAGATGGAGACCAAATAGTTATGTCCACAAATGCCAATCATGACCGACCAGCTCACACAAAATGAAGTAACTATGAGGAACGTTCCCAAGTGTATTTCTTTCTGGAGATCTCCAAACCAGAGCCTCGCATTGACCTCAGTTGCATGCATCTCAAGTTTACCAGGCTAGCAAAAAGTGTAATGTTTGGGGGCCCAGAATGGCAATCAAGGAAGGCTCTAGATACAATAACTAGCCCATGAAAAAGTAAGCTTTGAAGCAGTAAAGGCAACTTCTCCCAGCTTCAGTTAACCCTTTAGATTATGTAGATTCTCCCCTATTCCACATTCTTCAGAGAACAAAACTCTCCTGGGGACAGACAGAGCCAAGTCACCACCAAGTCCCTGCCATGGGCCCCTGGCAGAGGAAATGAATTTTTCTTAATTAGGAACAAAGAATTTTTGCTTTCTTTTAAAAATACATGTATGTAAAAGAAAAATAGGTAATACACTCATTTTGTAGGTTTTAGAATCACAGTGATAGACATTTAGTATCTAAATGTTCTGAATATTGAGGGACACATAGCTGAATCCTTGTTATAATGAGGAAATTGTTCACTTCCTAACTTTGAACTATGTTGAAGCTTTGTAGCTGTGGTAATCAAAATACTCTGAGAGTAACATCAAAACACAGACCTATGAGACAGAACAGAGACCCCCAGCAATAAACCCATGTATGTATGGTCAATTAATTTATGACAAAGGAGCCAAGAACACATAGTGGGGAAAGGACAGTCTCTTCAACAAATGGTGCTGGGAAAAGTGGTAAAAAGGGAAACTTTTTTTCAAAAGAGTGAAACTGGACAACTATCTTATCCATACACAAAAATTAATCCAAAATAAATTAAAGACTTGAATGTAAGACCTAAAAAGATCAAACTCCTAGGGGGAAAAAAAAAACATAAGCAGTAAGCTCCCTGACATTGGCCTTAGAAATGATTATTTGGATTTGACACCAAAAGCAAAAATAACCATGTGCAACCACATCAAACTGAAAAGTTTCTGTGCAGCAAAGGCAACCACCAACAAAATGAACCTACCAACTGGAAAATATATCGGCACATGACATGTCCGACAAGGGGTTCATAGTCAGAATATACGTTGAGTTTTACCATACTTGTTTTGATTAAAGAACAAGAATTTAGTTAATATTAGCATCAGACAGTCTCAAAATTAAGTGAATCCATGGGCTGAGGAAACTGGAGGAGGCAAGAAAAACTTTAGAGCAGTTAAGAAGAACTGACAACTGCTTAGAAGGACCACCTCTTTCTCCGTGCTCAGGTTAAGGCTTCTGTGTGAGACAGAGGTTTGGAGAAACAATTTCAGCATGAAATGCTCATCGGGCAAGATGACCTAGAGCACTGCTTCCAAACTGCACATTCAGTGAATGAATCTGTAAGCCCTTCAAGATTTCCAGTAGAAGGATTTGAAGACTTATGTTGGCCATGTCATTTGGGGGTTAGCGGCCATTTTGATTACTGTCAAAATTGACAGGTTAATGTGACCAGATATTTGTACTTTTAGACCTGAAGGAAGATCACAGTTGGCTAAAACCAATCATGAAGTAACAACTAGGATATCGTTCTGAGACAGTCTTTGTATGTTTTGCTCTTTACACATGTTCATGTCATGCCTTCCTTTCTCAGTGGTTTACCTCTGTAAGTCTTCTGCTTTCTTCAAAGGGGTACAGAAAGCAAAATGCTGACATTCATCCCTTATGTGAAAATAGACACTATTCAATGCAAGTCTGTTCCACGAGTATTTCTATTTTGGAGATAAAATGGGAAGAGGAGACACTTCAAATTGATACTTACTAGATTTGGTGAGTGCTGCATTGACCTCATGGATGAGAGGCTGGTCTGGTGCATGTACCCATAGCCTTGGGAATGGCTTTGGTGGTAGGCTCCAGGAAGAACAGGCGCTGTACATGAACACACACACACACAAAGATTCCTCAAAGTGAGCCTCAAAATACCCCTCCCGAGCCCTCAAGGAACCTCATGCTCTGCTACACTCTTCTGAAAGAAAATGCCGTGTTCACTGCCATGTGAAATTTGGATAGTGATGTTATAAGTGATCTCTAGATTAGTATAAATTTCAGCAATTAAGGACGTATACAGGAAATCAGTTTAACATGCAGTTAAATATATTAGAAATAGTTGTAATTCTCTACTGCAGAGGCTCTGTTCAAACAGCACAAGTACAAAACAAGTATTTACCATCATCTTTTAACAAAATCACCTTTTTTACTGAGCTATGTAATCCTCTTAGATATTTTCCAAGATACAAATAAGAAATTTTTAAAAAATTACATTAGATCGTCAAACCAAGAACAGAGTATAAATGTTTTCACAGAATACTCATATAACAGATGCACTCAATATTTCAAGACATATGGCTAAATATTACCTTTACAAAAATGGTAAATACAGCATATAGTTAGCAACTTATGTTTGTTAAGCAATTAATAATGAGTCTATACCCCAAAAGAAAACTTTATTTAGAATATATAAATTCTCCATTTTATCTTGGCTGTAAATCAAAACTAAGTCATCTGAACATGTTACAAAAGCCTAAAAAACCAAACCATGTAAAGAATTTCATAAACATCCTTCTACATCAAAAAAAAAAGAAAAGAAAAGAAAATAGGACCAAAATAGTATTCACTCGTTTTATGCTATTCTCACCACTAAATATGACAATCAAAAGACATAGTTCCTGTTTTGAAGAACACCCAATTTTAGAAAAACAAACACAGAAACTAGATAAAAACCCCACAAAATCAGTAGATGTATGCTTGAGTGTGTGTTTCTCTCTAAGTAAATGTAAGTACTTATAAACAGGAGCAAGGAGCTGGCTGGCTATGAATGACAGGATTTTAGTAGTACACTCTTCATTGGGTTTTGAATACTCACAGGAGACATTAGTAAAACTTGTATGATATAATTACCATAAAAATCCACAATAGGTTACCAGTGTCGTTCAATCAGGTTGAGCATTAATTAATCTAGGTTGATTTATTTAGGACAGTTTTTATAATAAAAGAATAAAGCAGATATAATTCTGGGGTACTATGAGTAATTAATATTTTATAACTGGTATGTTCATTCTAATGATATATGAGAACATCAAACTTTAAAGAAGTTTAATCATCAGAAAATTACAAATCATAAATGTGCTCTCCAGATGATAATGGTATTAGGTTGAATAGGAATTTTTTTTAAGTTCTTGAATTAATTTATACTGCAATGCTGTTAGAAATCATGTTTATTTAAAGTCTAGATGTGGCATCAAAGAGAAAGCACTGAGATCTTTACTTGGACTGTGGTACGTTCCAAAGTTATTATAAGTGTGAAATATAAAATACTTCAGAAAACAGCACTTTTTAACATTATCAACTCCATTTAAATATTTAATGCTAAGAGATATCAGGAATATTGTCAAAATTCACTCATGAAGCAAAAATAATGAAATTCCTAAAAATATCTAAGCTCACTTAATTAGCTGAGGAACAGAGCCATTTCTGTGTGTTCGAAGCATGGACCATTCATTTCTTCCCTCCTTCAATTCTCAGCAAATATTGACTGAGTGAGTTAATGTGTGCACAGGGCTTACTTACACTTCCCGTCTCTTGGTAAGCCTCCATAAATCTTAGCAACTATCATTGTCCACTATGTTCAAGGCATGCCAGGCATCAAAGGAAAGGGGTGACAGAAACAACTGCCCTTCTGGAGCAGTAATGACCCTGGACATCAGTCCCTTCCCCAGCTGAAGAAATGGCTCTGAATACTCAGTTAAATATGTAAGTTGCTTTTAGTAAGTTAAATATGTAATTCAAGGACTCCAGACTGGGTTTTCACCACGTAAACAAGTCATTGCTTCATTAATTATTATTTTAATCTACTTATAAATCCTAAAGGTTAAATTAAAAACCCCATAAATCTACCTAAAAACTGAACTTTTCATCCTTCATTATACTATCAAACTGTGACCTTCACATTTTGATGTACAGAGTTAAGCACAGCCCTCTTAAAATATTTGGGGGGAAAAACTATCAGGAAAAGACAATGATGAAAATATTTTTAAACATGCTATCTTGTATGCCGTGATGTGTTGATGTGTACATGGTTTGTCTGTGATCATCATCCCCGTACTGACAATTTGAGAATGTTGTTGAACAGTGCTCTCTAATGTTGGATTTTTAGAAACCAAGTATATTCATACTCGTTCAGCTTCTCAGATCTGACCTTCAAAGAGCTCCTGTAGCTATGGTCAAATACAGCAGGAAAAGAAAGTGAAGTATTTGCCCTAAATCTGTGTAAGTTGGAGAGAGCAGGAAAGAGTTTAGAAGGAGGAACACTGGGGCAAATATAATCTATCTCATTCTTACGTTTTCTTCTCATGCCTTTATTATTTTCATTTCTTGATTCAGCTGCATTACTTAACGCATGTTCCTTCAGGGTTATCAAACTTTGTTATCTACCTTATACCTGATACAATAAAAGAGTTTTTAGGAAGCTCCTATTAGAGCTATGAAAAACATAACTAAGAGCCCAGAGGGATCAACTTACTAAAAGCAAATGCCAATTTTACAAAAAGGCAGGCATTGCTTTTTTTTTTTTTTATTGTTTTGCTATATGATTTCTTTTTTGTGATGCATAGGCAAAATAAGCAATAGGAAGTTTAAAACAATGGCTTTGGAAATTGGGTTTATTAAGAATTTGAGTGAAAGATAGCCATTCCATGTGAGTATGCTATTTCTTCCATGAAAATAATGGAACCCAAAAGTTTTGCAAAAGCAAGACATTAAGCTAATTTTGCAACTAACAAGGACTTATTATCACAGAAAAACACCTTGTGCCCTCTTTCTTAAAACAGTGGTCAGATTCCACCAATACTGATACAGATGGATGGTGATTCCATGATGGTCTTCCAGTAGGAGAGTCCTGAGGTTGAGAGTTTTTTTTTATTGTAATAGCCTAAAAGCCACAAAACAATAGCTTTAGGGTCTACCTGGGTGGCTCAGTCAGTTAAGCGTCCAACTGTCAGTTTCAGCTAAGGTCATGATCTCGTCTTGGTCATGAGATAGAGTCCCACACGGGCTCCATGCTGAGTGTGGAGCCTATCTGAAATTTTCTCTCTCCTCTCCCTTTGCCCTCCTCACTCCCCACTCACGTGTACTTGCTCCCTCTCTATCTCTCCAAAAAAGTTTTTTTAATTAAAAAAACAACAACAACAATGATAGCTTTCATTATCCTAAGGCAATAACAAAACACACAAGTGTGACTCAATTTTTATTTCACATTGGTAAGATTTATTGACCGGAGATCTGGAAGCTCACTAAAGTTCTAAGGATTTAAGGTTCTATTTGGAATGTCCCATAGTATTTATAAAACCAAAATCTGTCTTTTAGAGCACAATAAATTTCTTCCATGAGCTGCCAATAGTAATATTTTCTATTTAATGCTTCTCCTTACAACGAAAGGAGATAAAACCAAGACAGAGAAGTAAGTAGACAAGAAGATCATAAAGCAGAAGGTGAAAATGGAAGAAGAAACGTTTTTTTGGAGGCTTCATAAATCTGAAACTGGAAAAGTAAGGAAATATGTGTAAACATGCACAGTAGAGTAAATCAACAATAATAAAGGAGAAAAAATTCTCAAAAAGAAGCCAGCCTACTGTGGGGAATTCCTTTGGGGTAGATAAAAGAAGAGGAGGATTATGGAAGTGTCCCTGGTGTGCACAGTGTGTCCTGCATTGCCATGTCATTGCTAGAAAAACTCTCTAAAATAGGTATCATTCCCACTTTAGAGAATAAAATACAGAGGCTAGGAGATTAAGCAGGAAGGCAGCAGAGCAATGGTCTCTGCACAGAAGGAACACCAGGATAAAGGTCTGATGTCCTTCAAAATGAGGGGGAGGTTTTGAAAGCCTCACAATGACAACAGCGTCATAGTAGATGGCCAAATTCCAAAGGCAAAAATAGAAATAAAAGTAGTGCCTTACTGATGTCTTAGCCCATTAGGGTTGGTATAAAAAAAAAAAAAAATACCATAGACTGGGCAGTTGACGCAACAGATTGTTTCTCATTGTTCTAGAGATGAGGAAGTCCAAGATCAAGACACTGGCAGATTCAGTGTCTGATGAGGGTCCATTTCCTGGCTCATAGATACACTGCTTCCTTTTCCCAAGTCCTTAAATGGCAGGCAGGGATGAGGGAGCTCTCTGGGATCTCTTTTATAAGGGCACTAAATTCACCCTCTTGACCCAGTCACCTCCCAAAGGCCACATCTCCTAAAATCATCACCCTGAGATTCAGGAATTTGATATGTGAATTTGGGAGGGACACAAGCATTCAGTCTGTAACAATTAGCTAACTACAGATGTAACACAAACAGAGAAAATAATTTTGGGGTTTTTCTCAGAGGTTTGCTTTTTATCAGAATAAGGAAAAAATTACCCTTCAGAAGCTTTCCAATAAAGAATATAGGATGCAATGACATTACTGTCATATTTTTTTAACAGTTGACTACAGTTTTATCAGCTAATGGGGGTCAAAGAACTTAATGAGCTGTGGGATGTTTTGTGTGTGTGTGTGTGTGTGTGTGTGTGTGTGTGCGTTTTTGTTTTTGTTTTGTTTTGTTTTTTAAAGACAAAGAATCTTGATTTGGACAATCACAGGGGAATTGCTAAAATGAATGAAGACATCACTATAAATGAGAAAGTATGAAGATACTGCTGGTGGTGAAATAAATATTAAATAATGAGCTAAACCCTTATTAGATCTCATCTAGGCCATGAGCAAGGTGGTTGAGCTAATTGGTCATCAGATAGGCCCATGATGTGGGCCTTTTTGTTCAAATAGCTCTTTCAGGTACCATCAAGGGTTCCAAATCAGAGCCTCAGGTCCTCGTGACATCT